CTTATTCGGTTCTGGTTGGTTACCTTGTGTGGTTTCAAAAAATGATGTGAAGCTATTGTTTACATCCTGTGATGAAAACTTAGTAAAAATGATAGTTCAGACCAAATTCCTACCACTGCAGCTTTTTGTCGTTTCAGAGCCTTCTCATGTCCCTGATTCTGAATATGAAGTCGAGAATCCGCGAAGCCGCGACAATCCACAATCCGGAGAACCCACAGCCGGCTTTCCGGAACGGTGATTGGATGGCGCGCACAAATGGGCGGCCATGGATGCGAAGGGCGGTGCGTCTGGGGGTCCTCCTATATCTTCGTTATTCCGGAACGATTTTCTCGCTTCCGAAGCAACATTTTGCGCCGCGCTTGGGCGTTGGCTTGATAGGGGGCCCTACTATCATATGCTGCTAAAAGCTCCTGAACCTCAACTTAGGGTGGTGCCTTAAAGTGAGATTGATTGATTATCATGGATTACACCTTACTATAATATTACCATGTGTACATCGGTGTGGCGTACCGAGGGAAAGGGGAAGAGTTGGCGGCGGAGGGGAGGGGCAAGTGACTTATTTCTACTTGTAAATGATTGAAATAATTTTTAGAAATTCTTTTAGAAATCGAATTAGCCATGTAAAAAAAATTTCGGGGCCGTAGTTGCTCAGTGATAAGAAAGTTATCGACAACCAAACATGGGAAGATTTTCTGGGACACCCTGCACATGAGAAGGATTGAAAAAATCGTTTAAGCATTTTTATTTATTTATTTATTTATTTATTTATTCAATACGCACAAGGCGCGCCCGTACAACAGAAGAACGAAGCATCACACCAAACAAACAACAACAAAAAAAATAAAAAAAGCAAACTCCCCACTGAATCAGTTCAAGTCCAGTCCGCAAAATCTTTCTGGGAATGGAAAGGGAGTGAGCTTGTTTAGACATATATGAGGTCATCACAGGTATAGAGGTTCAATGGAGTCTGTCTCATGCCCTGCTCTTAGCAAAAAATGCTCTTACTCAACATAAGCAATTGTATATGTTGGAAGCAGGTGTATTGGTAGTAATATTGATAAAACCCGCCCAACCAAAATTCTGGGGAGAGAACAGAACTCCGATAGAAGTTGCACAATGCAAAAGTCTCAAGCCCAAACAAGCTAGCCCAAGCATAACTGAGGTGATAAGACGGAACCAGACCCAAACTAACGCGTGAGGCATGAAAGTGTTAGAAAAAAACCAAACAGAGAACGGCAATAATTTGAACCAAGGTCCAATGAAGTGGTAGTCTGATCTAACATAAGCTACAGTCCAACAAAGCATTCATTCCGCATCCCTCGACCACAGTCAGCCCAGAGTAAGGATCAGCATGAGACAGGTAGAGTCGCGTGCCATGAAACCGTCATACGGAAAAGATAGTGAACCGCATGGACAAGAGCGAGAATCTAAAAAGAAGACTATTGAGAGATGAAAAATAAAATAGAAGAAAAAGAAGGAAAAAAGAAGTGCAAAGAAGATCAAGCCTCAGAACCAAACCATGGGAGAACCATAACAACCATAAGCCCTAAAGACCTAAATCCTAAAAGAAACTGAACACAAATACTAGAAACACAACGCAATCAAGAAGAAGTATCACTGCTCAAAAGTTGAGACAAATCAGCTTTTCTTAAATTTTTCTTGAAGGCTTCACCGCCACGCACTGACACAGTATCAACGGGTAAGCGCTGAAGCCATCTTGCACAGCGGAAGAACAGGTAGTCGAATATTCCAGACTGATGTTGCTTGATAGGTTTATAATGCAGATTGAAACCACCTAGCCTCTTACCAGCAGGTTTGAAGATCCAAAATTTGCTTGCTTTTAATTTTATTTCCATGCGAAGAATACGAAAACAAAAGACGAGGTCGGATATCATGCGTCTAATTCTGAGAGGAGTCAAGCCCAATTTATTAGAGCGTAGGTGACAGTCTGGAATATCAACTAGTGTTCCACCACTCGCACGACGAAAGACCAGGCGGGTAAAAGTGTGCTGAACTCTTTCAATCTTCATTATATCTTTTTTTCGGGAAGGAGTCCAAACTTGCGAACAGTATTCAAGATGTGGAATAACATAAGCTTTGTATAACCGGGACAGTATTATAGGATTACGAGTTTGTATATTGCGAAAGATTGTAAAGGTGGCATATGCCCTGTTGACAATTGAATCAATATGCTTAGAGAATTTCAAATCACAATCGATAATAACTCCCAGATCTTTCACATCTTGACAAGCAGTCATCTCAACTCCATCAATTTTATACGAAGTTGAGGAATGCTTGCCAAGATGGAGGAAGGAACATTTTCTTGGGTTGAGAGAGAGTCCATTCTGAGACGCCCAGGCACACATTTTATCAATCGATGACTGCAAAGCATCATGAACTGTGTCCAGGTTGTCTTCATCATAAGATGCATATATCTTTGTATCATCCGCATAGATTTGTACGTGTACATTCAATGTTTTTAAAGCATCAGGTAGGTCCAAAGTGTATACCAAAAATAAAAAGGAGATAGGACAGCTCCCTGAGGAACTCCACTGGGACAGGGAAATTTTCTGGAATATTCATGACCAATCTTTACCGTCATGCATCTATTGCTCAAGTAAGACTCCCAAGTTAGTAGGTTTCCCGATATTCCGATATTCTCTAGTTTGCAAAGAAGCAAACGGTGAGGTATTCTATCAAAAGCCTTGGAAAGGTCGAAGTATATAATATCCACAGATTTTCTCGAACTTAAGGCTAATTTCCAATCAAAAACGGCCTCAGTAAGATTAGTTGCAGTTGACTTGCCTGGCACAAAGCCATGGTGCTCGGGCGAGACAAGATGGAACCTCTCTAACCAAAGTAGTAATTTACTTCTAATAATTCTTTCCATAATCTTGATGGGCACAGAATTATGGCTAATGGGGCGAAAATCGGCAACACTTTCAGCTGCGGAAGTTTTAGTCACAACTGTAACAATGGCTTCCACCAAAGGGAGGGAATCTCACCGAAGTATAGGGAAAGATTGAATATATCAGCAAGCGGTTTGGCAAGAATATCTGCACACATTTTATAGAGTATCTGAGGGATGCCATCGTACGGCTCCATACACGAAGGTTTTAGACGCATTATTGAGGAATTTTTGATGCAGAAGTTATGCTACAGCTCAATAATGCAATATAGTGCATTGTGGTAGACGCAGCTCACTTGGCAGTGCCTTGTGGTCAAATAAAATTGTGTTTGGAGTTTTATTACTCATCTAACCTCCAACTTTCTTGAATCTAGATCAATTCTCGTAAATACATAGGTAAAGGACTGACTTACTTATCTGCCTTACTTTTTATCAATACTTTCACTCTTCGTATTTACTTGGCTGTAATCTCTGATGTCGTAGATGTAAAACCTCAACTAACAGATTTGTCAGGAAAAAAGCTTGCGTTGTCGAGTGAGCTTAGCGAGCCTTCACAGGCGTGCCAGAGAGTATCGGCTCTCTTGTTTGACTTAACAATGAGGAAACGCCCGACCGAGGGCGGAGGACAACAAGAGCCTCGACCAGCGTGATAGTAATACAGTCACGAATACAGAAAAAGAGATGACCAACACTTGGTCTTGTACTCGGGACAAAAGATGAATGCTTGGATAAGCCTTGTCCGATTCGCACTTTCTTGTCGGTACTTGAATTTACAATTTTTTACTACACAGACTTACCTTCTATAATCTGTCACCTTCGTGTGCTTTTGCTGACCATAGCAAATCCTCAGCGCTGCTCTCTAGAATTAGGTATTTTCGCTCGACTTGAAGCTCAACGCCAGTGATATAAATAATCCAAGTTATTCATTGTTGCTTATTTTGCTCCCGCCACGACATGCTATGTTAAAGTCATTTTATTGTCTTTTGTGGTGTTGTTCCTCTTTTCTTCATTTCAAGGGATTACTCTATGGTACAGCGCATTCCACAAATACAGCAACCTCAATCCAATTTGTGTAATTGCACAAATCTTACGATCTGCAAAAGCGCGGCAGTGGCAGTAGCTTTTGTCTTGTTTGAAACGCTATAAAGAGGAAAAAGTTAACACGAAAACTATTAGGAAAAGCAGAAAAGGAGTTCGTACATAACCTCGCGAGTGAAACTGAAAATAGCGCAAACGGGGTTTGCTGGAGTAAGATTATTTTTGGGAATATGTTTAGATGAAATCATAATGGAAATTCAGGAAATTCAGGTAATATTGAACATACGAGCGTTTCTTTTTAATTTTACTCCATAATTCCTCGTTGAAGATAAGAACGAATGGGGAAAACGGGTTCTCATCATCACAGTTTCTTTCGTTCTTGAGTCACTTTTACCATTTTTTTCTCACTATAAGTAGAATTTGAATTTGCATTTGGAAAATAAAGCTCGCTCATGCCACATCCCAGAATTCACTCGTTGTGTAAGGCCTAAGGGATACTTTCCGTGTTTGGATCAAATCGCCACATCGCTGCAATTTGGCGATGTGCCAGATGTCCGCCGACTAACTGCGCACGGGTCTCAAAAGAGCATAAACGCGTAGCTTTCGTAAGTTTTTGCAAACGCCCTAAGTTTGGCCCAAGCAAAGCGTCTTACAGCCAAATATGAAGAGTAGTTGCAGTGCCAGATCGCGCAGCGATTGAAATCGCGTGAACTATGTTTTAGGGCCAAGAGATTTTTCAGATAATGCTCTACTCATTATTAGCATCTAGGTACTGTGGTGTGTACTCTATTTACCTAGTTCAGTCACTCACTTTTTCCTCGTTCGGCGCGACTGTTTACACTTCCGGTCACTAAGGGTCGCACGTCCGTAGCCAACACTAAACTGTCTCGGCAGAGTTGCGCGCAGCCGCTCCCATATCTGCCTGTTGCCAACATTAGATCTCAGTCATTGTTCCAATCTATCGGCTCTCGAGCTCTTCGCATTTTCTTAGAAATCGTAAATTCTGTCGTGTAAATTTTCTTTTTCGCTAATGTTCCCTCTTCAGGGGGTTACGATGAAGTTATTACTGGTGCTGGGACTTCTCCAGCTAGCACACTGTCAGGTGAGCCATGTAGCAAATAATTTCCACCGAATCCTCCTTTCTAAGTTTCTTTTTAAACCATTTGCCTTCGGATAAAAAATATGGGCTAAAGAGCCTTTTTCCTCGCTCATTCCTCGCATTCTGTTTCAGTTTTATTACCAACAAGCTCGAATTCCTCGACCTATGATGTATCCAGTACGAACAAATTGTCAATATGTGTGGTGTAGTCAAAATCGCTACAGATGGAATTATAGACCATCAGGTTATCATTTCTCGTTGAAAAAAATTTTTCCTTCACGACTTCAACTCAAAAAATTAAGGAGTTCGACCCATAATGCTTCCACCTATCACCTCAACCGCCTTTCCAATGACATTTACCTTCACCACTGTAAGTTATGATTTTTATCTGCTCCTCTGTACCCAATTCCCTTCTTCTATTTCATGCTGCTTCTCGATCCACAACACCTCCGACACCACCTCCGGAAACAGTACCACCTGTGGTGGAACCCATCACGGCAGAACCACCTACGCCACCACCAGAGTCCACCTTGGACCTTACATCTACAACCAAATTCTTGAGACCTGAGCGAAAGCACAACAAAACAAGTAATTGTGGACTTGTAGCTTATTTAATTTGCGTCTGGATTTTTTAGAATATACTAATCCCTGTACGTCTGGCACGCCACTGATGAACGAGTTTGGCACTCCAATTTCGTGCAATTATCTAAATATACCTAATGGTGGATGTCCCGAAGATTACTGGTGCCATATCGGTGCCACCTTCGCAACCACGACATGTTGCTCGAAAACCGATAACGGTAAGAATTTAAAAAAATTATTGATTGTAACTCTATGGGTGAATTTTCTAGAAAATCGCTGCGACATGCGAAGGGACACTGGCGAAGGTAACGAGCTCGTAGCCAGATGGTATTACGACAGACAAGCCAAACAATGCAGGCGGTAAATTACTCCGAAAACTTTATCCTTCTCCCATATATTTATCCCAATCCGGATTTTCAGTTTCTTATACAAGGGAATCCGCGGGAACGCGAACAACTTCGTCACCAAAACTCAGTGTGTTGACGCGTGCGAGACTGGTAAGTTTACTCAAACAATTTACGTGTTCGAGTGGACACGCGCAGATTTCTTCGTGACGTAATCTCGTCTTTGAGTAAAGTGGACAAGCGATTTTATGTAGTTTTATCGCCTTTGTCTCTGTAAACATTTACGGATGTAATAGCCGTACAAACATTTTTTAACATCATGATTGGTCAGTACACATTTGGATTAGCCAAAGTCGTCCAGGATCTGGATACGTGAATTCTTCATGTGGGATCTGAATGGAGAGCCTTAGCCAAGTTGCTGTTCAAGAGGCAGCTCATAAGATTCATTCGTGACAAAAATTCACTTTTAGTTATTCAAACCCTAATCTTCCCGCGCTAACCAATCAGCGTCCCCCAGGTACGGTAAACAGTACAGTAAGGGCTGAAGTTTTAGAATTCTCGGTCTAGACAAATCACATGAGCTGTGGTTTGAGCAATACTTTATCAGGATTGTAATAGCTGTAAGCAGCCTGTTCCCACATAGAAGATTCACGTATCCAGATCGTGGGCAATCGCCTATTTCAAGCTTCTTCAAAAAAGAACTTACTTTATTGCAAAATGTTTAGCCTCCATGGAAGATCGCGCGAATCCCTGCCGAGTCGGTAGTCCGGCTAACCACAAGAACGGCTCAAGAATTCTTTGTGGCCCAAATGACTCCTCTACTTGCCCAAGGAATTACTTTTGCCATTTGGGAGAGAATCCAGAGACTACCGCTTGTTGTGAATCTAGCGGATGTGAGAATAAAAGCAGTGATAGTATTATTGTATCATCCCAGAACTATGTCATATTTTCAGTGACCGATCTATGTCTTCTAGCATTAAACATGGGAGAAGGAAAAGCTCTTCTGAAAAGGTACGGCATTTCTTGGAGCATTCTATACAACCTTTGCAATTTTCGGATGATTATAATTTTGACAGGTTTTACTACAATACATTCTCCAAGAAATGCACAGAATTCGTCTATCGAGGCCTTAAAGGTAATGAGAACAATTTCCTCACAATGGAGCAATGCCAGGACGTTTGTCAAAGTGAGTTTTCATACATAATATAAAGGGAAGGTTTTTTAAGAGTATTAAGTCTTCTCTTTAGAATGGACCAACCCGTGCCCAGTCGAAAATTTCGCGTCCAGAAGAGAATGTACAGCAAATGGGACAGAATGTGGAACGAGTCAATGGTGTCACATCGGATCATCTGAAGCTACAACGGTTTGCTGTCCAGGGGGTGAGGTCGAAGTTGATTGGAAGACAATTTTCGGGAATTTCCTAGATACTTGAAGTTGTTATGCGGGCGCTAACTGGCTGGCCTAGGCTAAGCTCTTGCCCAAGCGGGAGCTCGTATGTATGATTCCTTCGTGGCTAGAAATTTGACTTTAGACTCCAGTTCATACCGTACTGCTATACTGGAGGGCCAATTGCCGAGTACGGTCTGGGCTTGAGTTCAAAGTTGCTTTCTCAGTTTCTAGTGAACCAAAGCGGCTCTTTCAAGCCCATCCATTAAGTTTCCATATCAATCACAGTGGATCTAGTACGCTGTTACTATTGTCAATTACAGCCGCACAAGATCCATGCTCACTTCCTGTCGAGACTGGTGAAGGCAACTCGGAATTGTCTCGTTGGTACGCCGATCCGAATGACCGCTCCTGCTCGATGCAGTGCAAGCCGTTCATATACAAAGGAATCAAGGGAAATCAAAACAACTTCTTGACGAAAACAGCATGCGAGCGCAAGTGCAAACGTAAGAATTTTCGAGAAACGAAAGTCTTCTGATTCTTATCTTTCTCAAAACTCCAGGCGAATGCAAATCACCTTGTGGATCTGGAGAGATGTTGATGACACCACTACACGAGCCACGAATGTGCAGTCCCACGTCACCATGTCCTCAGTCGCATTGGTGTCACGTTGGCATCACGCCAGAGTTGACTGTTTGCTGTTCTACCAGTAAGTAAAAAAATCGCATGAGAATTTGCATAAAATTCCCACTTTCTAGTGCCCAATACATGTGAGATGCCGATTATGAAAGGCCATGGCAACTCTTACCTTACGAGATGGCATTTCGACAAAGAACAGAAGAAATGCATCAAGTTCATCTACAGCGGTGAAGGAGGAAACCAGGTGAATAAATAATTTTGAGAGAAATACAAAAATAACTTCTAATCCTGTAGGAGATCAGATTGGGAAACGGCCGTTCTTACCCATAAAAAAAATTCACTAATTAGGAGGACCAAGCTTGTCTCTCTGACGTTTCCTTATGTAGCCTGTGCAATATTTTCCATCTCATATCTTGGGTAACTAAACCCAGTTATCAGTGTTTTACATTGCGAATATTTAGCGAAATCAACGGAAAGGAAATGCCTGCCGAAAACAGAGATAGGCTTTGCCTGCTTTACAAATGTGAGCAAGGAGCACAATGATTTTGTAAACGAATTTTCCGCAAACTCCCAAGACTTTTACTGGCTTTTTTACAAGCTCGATGACATACCTCCAGCCTAGTAAGCATTGTTCACTCTTCAAGTAAACTCATTACTGAACAGAAGCTGCAAAATCTGCTCCACTTCTGCCTCAATTCATCTAAATTTGGGTAATTTTGATTGAAGATTTGATAGCTTGCTGATAAAAATAGATTATTCTATCCACTCATCTGCAATGTTTGCCCCCCCCCCCCCGCTTGAAAAATACTAATCCTCTGTTCAGAACATGTTCCTCACTCAAGATGATTGTGAAGCAATATGCCCTGTGTATGAGAACCCGTGCGGAAGTGGAAAACCTTTGCTTGTTGGCAATGTGCCGAAAATCTGCAATCCTTCTCAACGTTGTCCATCAACACATTTCTGTCATATCGGTGTTGATAGCGAGCAAAACTATTGTTGCCCCAAAAGTGAGTGTAGAAACACAATAAACGCAAAACAGAGCGAAGATGTGTGTTTTCCATTCAGACGGTGATCCTTGCACTAAGGATTTGGCTGTTGGCGAAGGCTCCTACTCGCTAACCAGGTGAGTTAATTTACAAATCTGGAAAAGTCAGGACTAATGGATCTACTCAAGGTACTACTTCGACAAGGAGACCCGAAGATGTCGTGAATTCAGCTACCAAGGCAGTAAGGGTAATGCAAACAATTTCCTGACCATGGAAGACTGTGAGCTAGTATGCCCAGGTAAGAAACAGATCCAGGACTTCTTAGATTTTGAGGGGTCTGCGATTTTAGTGCTACCAAATCCCTGTAAGATCGGAGAACCCTTGCTAAACGCACTCAACGAGCCAATAATCTGCGGCGGAGAAGATTCTTGTATTAACGGGTACTGGTGCCATGTTGGAGGTAGTCCAGAAACAACAAACTGTTGTCCTGGAAGTGAGTTTTTACCATATCTGGCTTATCTGGCTCTCAGAAGTACTAGGTAATTCAACCTTTGTAGCTCGCCGACCATGCGACTTGCCTCTTGAAACCGGTAAAGGATCAGAAGCGCTTGAGCGATGGTTCTTTGATGGAGGAATACAGGTATGTAAAGGTAGTTGTTTCTGCGGTGGCGACAACATATGCGCGGAAAAATTGTTGCATGCTGACAACTTGCCGGCGACTTGCCCATGAAAACTGGGCGTGGAGCGCCCATTGTCTTTGTTTATGCGGAAATATGCGCAAATGTTGCCGCCAACGCAGGAACACTATATTCACTATGGAATCTATTATATTATAGAAGAACTTTCGACAAGATAATTAGATGCTTAGAAAACAGCTTTCTATCTACGTTTTCAGATGTGCCGAACTTTCACCTACAAAGGATTGAAAGGAAACGCGAACAATTTCTTGACCAAGCAAGCTTGTCGACAAGCATGCAAAGGTGAAACCAAAACATGAGTATTACGATATTATTATAAATATCATAACATCAAATATAATGTCCCTCGCGTATGAACATTATATAGAACTCAATCCATGTGGACATGGCGAGCCTTTGATTGGCACGGATGATGAAAGAGTGCTGTGTACTGGCGGACAAAAAATAGACAGTTGTCCAAGCGGTTTTTACTGCCATGTGGGAAGCACACCCGTTACAACACTATGCTGCCCGAAAAATAGTGAGCCATTTCACTAAAAGCTTAGAGTACCTGAAAATGCGATATTGAAACTTCAGAAGTTGATGTATGCGATCAACCTGTGCACCAAGGTACTGGTGGAGAAGACTTACCACGATGGTTCTTCGATAGAAAGCAGAATAGGTTAATTGGAACTATCGCGATATACAGTCTGCAGATTGGACGATCGATGTAGTGTTTTTGCGGTAACGACAACATCTGCGCGAAACTTGCGAATGCCGTCAATCTGCTCGTGATCTGCACGTGAATGACCATGGAGCGCACAAATGTTGCCTCCAAGGCAAAAACACTACATTGACCGACAGATCTACCAAGCTGTGTGTCACAGAAAATCAATGAGTTTGTTTGTAGATGTGCTCCATTCAATTATGGCGGATTAGGTGGTAATGAAAACAACTTCATAAGTCAGTCAACATGCAATGAGGCGTGCCCAGGTATAAAACGAACAAATTAAACGCGAGATAAGTTTGCTACGCCCTATTTCCAGTTTATCGAAATTATTGTCCGCACGGAATTCCGCTAGTAGAAAGCGGACAAGTGAAAGCTTGTGGAATTGATAGAGGATGTCCAGATGGGTTCATTTGCCATATGAGCACCGAATTCAATGTCTCTATCTGCTGTCAGGTAGGACTTCAGAATTTACAGCTTTTTCTCGTACTTAGCGGACAAAATGTGAAAAAATGACATTGCAGGATCCTGTAGATTTTTGCTCGGCTCCACGAGACCCAGGACCATGCACAGACTATGAAACCCGTTACGGTTACAACCCAGCAACGGACACATGCGTTGAATACGAGTACGGTGGCTGTGATGGAACTCTAAATAATTTCCGCTCACTCCAAAGGTGCACGGAAATTTGCTGCAAAGAGTACAAAAGAAAACTCTAACCTCGTAGACTTATAAGTCGCCTTACTCAGCAATTTTCACGTGATATAGGACACCTCGAACGGGTGGGCAAAACCCTTTTGGGCACTTAAGGTTGTGAACGAGGTTAATGCTGTTGTTTTTTGATATTATCAATTCTCATGAACCTCCAAACTTGTGCGGAAACGTCATACTGTTAGTTTCTGATGTCATTGCTTGCTAAGAATCTATCGACATAACCAACCATTACATCTTAATCTAGATAGATCTCGTTATCATGTGCTCTTTTGTTTACTTTGCTTTGCTTGCAATAAATATGATAAACGAAGAAGCAAGCTTTATCTGCAACAATTTCAAAAATTGAGCACATTTCAGAAACCCGTCGTACACAATGAAATAAACATGAAAAGCATGAAGCTGTCGTGTAGATGAGCAATAATTAATTCTATTTCGTTATCATTTGACATGAGCAGAAGCTAGACAGGATTGACTCAAACGGATTCTATAGTGTTGATGGCAAAAACAGGTACGAGTTTGCAGATTAAGTACCCAAGAAGAATGAGATCAAAGAAGTCAGATAACTTAAGCAATAATTGGTGATGATAAGTAGTACCGAATTATGATTTAATCAGAAGCTCCTCTACTATCTAGAAGCCTTCAGTACTGGCCAAGCTTTTAAAACAAATTTCCTTTTACCAAGGGCATTCGGGCGGGGGGGGGGGGGGAGGGGGGAGGAGGGGACCAAGTTGTCTCAATAAACAGTCTCCAACCATGAGACACGATTGCGCTCAAGTGGTAAATTTACCAGCACTACCAAATTTTTTTTGCAGCGCTAATCTCTGCGGGTTATCAGCGTAACTGTCTAATACTAACGCTAGGCCAATCGTCGAGATATTAAAAGCTTTTCCTGGACTGGAAGTCCACCAAACTATGAACGTGCTGATCTCATAGCTCTAACTGCATGTTGTGGCAATTTGCAACAGTACATATAGCCTAGTAGATTTGAAGGTTAATGAAGTGTTCTTGCGGTCCTGACAACATCTGCGCGTAAAACATTGACAAGGTGCGTTTGACCATTTCCTTATGCAAAGGTCGCAAGCAAGCCGTCAAAATTTACAACATATAGCATATGTCTCCGCGCACATGCTGTCATCACCGCAACGGCAGTATACTGTCCTTAAAATCTAGATGGATGGGCAAGCCACCCGCCTTAGTGTATCGAAGGTCGTTCTGGCTTTATTTTTTCATAATGATATTGAGATTTCAGCCGACGGATGTCCGAAGCATTGTTCGTTCCGTTAGTTGCTTTCCTTAAAAATTGCACGGTATTTGTAGAAAGTCGGCCCAAACAGATGCTCTAGCTCACTTAAAGATTGCAGTAAACTCCTCCTTCGCAAAATCGTAAAACTCCTTCTCCATCTGATATACTTCATTCCTTCTTACCACAGATAATGTATAGTCATTAGGAGGGAACTTCTTTTTCGTATTGCGAAGATGTGCTCGGTTCTCTACAAAGAAACTAAATTGAATATATCTATGGGATGAAAAAGCTCACCGCTCAGCCCATCGAAATGGTCAAGTGCTCCCCTGAAGAAACGAGGAAGCAAACGTTCGAGCATTGCTATGAAATCCCGCATCCTTTCACTGACACCAACTAGCAGGTACTTTTCAATCAAGTTCCTCTTCGCCTGCTCCAAAGCAAGCTTGCTACCAACAATGCTGTAACATATGTTCTGTAGAGTACCTATGCACTTTTGTTGTGACTACTGATGAATACAAACGTGCAAAAGTGATGATGTCCGCAAAAATATGGAATCTGCAGCCACATCTGTTTCATGTCGCAGTCACGGCCACCCCTCATTACGCAGTCGTCAAATGTCTACAAAGTAAAATCTGGAGATAATTCATCAGCATGGGCATCTTAGATGACTTTGAACAATTAATAAATGGTCGTAGGAGACCCAATAGAAACGAGCACAAACTGAGTTAAAGTGATGATGTATGTAAAAAGGTAGTTTAGTCATCAAACGCATACAATGCACAACTTGCGAACAATGCAGCAGCGCGTTCAACAATCCGGATATGTCATGTCAACAAAACTTTTCAATTATCAAAGTCGAAACCGAGCAGCAGCATTGTCGCACGCTTGCCAGCTGCGTGAATTTATTTGTACTAGACGAAGTATGAATCACGAAGAGCACCTCGTTGTTTCCAGCTCTGCTTCTCTTCAGTCCGATGCGAAAATTATCGCCAAACCGGAGAAAGTAGTAGTGTGAAAGTAGGCGCTCGAAAGGTTCTCGAACAATGTTTATATAAACAGGGTTTTTGTGACCGAATCTATAATCTACATCTTACGAAGCAATAATAATGAATTAGAGTAAATTTACCTGGTAAAGTCGATAAAAGCAACGTGTCCGTGGTAAAATGCTGGTCTCCTCTCACTCCATGATGTTATGTTTCTTATGAATTCACCTTGATCCGTAAGACTCATTACCTAAGAAGGTTATGTGATGCTTCAAAACCGCCACTAAAGGCTACTACAAAGCTAAGTGCATGGTGCAGCATTTGCCTGCCAGAACATTAATATTAAAGCACAAATAGATATACTATGTTGACAAAACGTAGAGGAAGAGAAGGACCCTATCATCAGACCCCTGGAGTCAAACAAAAGATGCGTCTCAGTGTTGTCCAATGGTAATATAAGTGAAGGACATATAGCGCTTTCTATATATGAAAAAATATGATGGTAAACAATAACACAATTTTGTAACGCTTACCTGCCTGTTCTTGGTCATGTTCAGGTGTATCACGTTAAAATCATTGGCTTTGAACAAATCATAAGCAACGGCATTGGTAAATGTCGTCGAACCCGTTTTTGGAACCTAAATGTTTTTTCTTCAAGTCAGAAAAGAAAGGTGCAGTGGTGGTGCCACTCACACGATTATAAAATACAATCAGTTGAGATTCAAGATCCGTCCAGTTCTTACGCAAGGCTCGTTCCAAACTGGTTTGAGGCGATAGTTGCGTATGTACGTATATGATTAGTAGGATTATAACACAGAAATTACCGATCAGTACATGTACGCGGTTAAAGGGGACCATAGGAGTAGAACATCGGATGGTTTCAAAACCTGAACAAAAAGAATACGAAATCATATAATAAAAAATCTCTATCATAAGATACAACATGAATGTTGCAGAACATCTTTTTAAGAATAAACTATATGGCAAAGTGAGGCAAATGCAGAAGAATATTGTGCTTACTGGCATGCAGAGTGCTCGTTCAAAATGCGATCGGCACTTTAGCAAATGTTCTTGAGGAATTGAACTGCTCCTAGCCCAAATTTGAATCTCCGTAGCTTGCGAGCGCCTGCGTTGCGGCTATGCAAACGCACTCGATAGGGTCATCGTCCAACACCGCATCACGTTTTCCATATTTGCGAACTTTCCTTTGTTGTTTCACTGCTCATTATCTCAAAAATGGTCACATTCCAGATGTAGCAATTCAGCTCTCACTTTTTGAGAATGTGCTCAGACTTCTCGGCAGTGCTTGAGTTCTCAACAATACCCAGTAAATTACCACATGCATTGGTTGTTTTGGCTGTGATAAAATAATCTAACTATAAGCAAGCAGAAATATAAGTCTGACTTCCACCCGACTTTTCCATGTTATTGTTAGAGTTGAGTCAAGCATAGGACAGCTGTACTCTTCTGTTAGTGCAAAATTTTGGAGGTATCCTTATGACTAGATGTGAGAAATTGTACTGATAATAGCTCTTACCTCAATTGCGTAGGTTTAGAACTGGATTCCTTTCCCTCGAACTTGTGACTCTTCTCTTCATTACCTTATCGCCGTATTTGCCTTTGTACCACTGCGAATTCGCGTGCGAGCTATTTCTAATCTTTGGTTATCTCTATACGAAATTGTCGACTGTTCAACAGTAATTTTGGGTGTTTCTCATCTCTCACATCAAATTCTCGTAATATCTATGCAAAGGAATTCCTCAGTCTGAGTCGTCGATTTTACTAACTTTAAATGAGTGTTTCTTGGGCTACTGGCGAGATAGCATGAGTGGAACTGCCAATCTAGTAATTCTAGCTCATATATTTTGAAACTTTTGGAATTTTGCGTCCGCACATTCATTTTCTAGTTAGTGATGAACCATCTCATAAATCATTTTTGTTTAACATACTCCCAAACATCAATATAATTTTGGGTGCTAGTTTCGAGTTACTGTCCTCAGATCATTAAGGTGTTGAATCTTACTTGAAATTTTGTTATACTTGTTTACCCTTTCAACGTTAACAATTAAGCAATGATAAAGAAATCACACTTAAACAATCTCTTCATCATATGCATGCATCGGATGCCCTTTGATATTCCACTGATCACAAAAATTGATACCAAAATTATAGCCAAACAACTTGTCGAGGAGTGGAGGCTAGTGATCGAATGGTTTACTAGATTTGTAACGATTTCTAAGGCTTTAAGAAAACTCACTTTGTACGTCAGAACAACTTCACATCCATTTTTCGCTGTCTGCTTTTCACGAAAAGCAGAAAAATGTTTACCAGTTAAAATTTATACCGGCTGAGCTATCACGTATGTGGCAGTTCGCTGTTCAGTGCGCACAAATTAGAACAAGTAAAGCGATAGTAATTAATCGCATATGACTTTTTTATTATGCTATTTGTCCTGTATGCCAAGTCCCAGCTCTTTACCTCAACATCTAAAAATTCAGTTTTACTATGATAAATGCATTCATACTTCTGTGTCCACTATGCTCACTTCCCCCCCCCCTCTGCAATAAATTTCACCGCTCAGATTAAGAAGCAACAAATTTTTGAGCTAATATTAATCGTTAATTAAAGGTAGCCTAGTTAGCCTATTTTCAAAAGTGATTGGGCAGAGTTCTTAAAGAACAACATTTGCTAATCGCAACAAACAGGCAAACTGGCATTGTACATACAAACGTGGCGCTTCATTGTGTAAGAGAAGGCCAGCTGAGCCGATTATTGTTGTTTAGGCCTAGCTTGTTCAAATTTATTTCAGTTCTCTATATCTTCCTGATATCCCGCTGATTTTACGTAATGCCTTGTAATGACTTTTTTTTGTAATTGTCAACAATCAAGCTTTCAGGCAGAAGCGGCGCTCACCCTGCTTGGCGTTCCATTCGCGTGAGTTTCTTCATTTATTTTTTACTGTTGTGCTCCCATTTCACCGTTTTTAAAGGTACACTTCTTTGTTGTCGTAACTGAGAGAGAGAGTTAGAATTGAAACAATGGCGACCCGAGTTGCCTCCTAAGGGGTATATTTTTTCGAATTCTTTTCACCGTGTACCATCGCTTAACCGTCTACATATAGTAATTCATCGATATCTCGAATTTACAACCTCGGTCTGTATTATCGATTGCATAAGTGTGGATTCTTCTTCTGTTGGAGTTCGCTATCTGTTAAAAGTGAAAGTAGATGTTACTCTCAAGTAGAAAGCCGTGCACTCCTTCCGTATGGCAGTTGTAGGCAGAGCTTTTATCTTAGCTTTGCTGCTACAATGACTGTTCTACTTTACCTAAAGAGAGCACGTTCAGCTCTACAAAAGGCAGTCATGTATGCGATTACAACATTCGCAGTTGGCGTAACTCCATGCCTGTGCAATAGTAACTGAGTATAATCGTGAAGCTTTATTTGTACATCAGGGTTTAAATATTTGTTTTGGTGCTAATTCTTGTACCTTCTTGATCCAAACATCTTCTTATCAATGCCACTGTTATCCGCTCGTTGTTTTCCGACTCGTGGATAACGACAAGTCACAAATGGGACTTTCGCTGCCGCTAACCGAACTAGTTGTGATCTCGGCGTTCTGTGAGACGTAACTCAGTTTCTTGTTTTGGTGAATCACTACGGTTTTCAGCGCTTTTCCTTTCACGATGGCTGCCGCGCAGCTTATACAGTATATGCCGTGCACAGCTAGTACTCGACGTTCAGTATACTACCGATTCGGCATCGCGCGGGCTCTTTGTTCAGCGATCCCATGTTCGTTTGTAAGCTCCGAGAGCCGTTGCTATGTTCTGTTCCCGTTGTTGTGTCAGTCTCAGCCGGAACACTTCCGGAGGTTCTGGCGCAGTGAGACCGGTTTTCGATCTCATTCGCATACCCGTTGCGACAGTCTCGTATATGCCGTCCGTTCTGCTTTCGCTTTTTCAAACAACGATCAATCGAAAGTCCTTTCGATGTTGCATTCTATGTCGACGCGCAATGTAAATCGAGTTGATCTAGTACCATTGCATAGTCGCATGTCAGTGTTCGATCATATCTGACTCGCACTTTTTTTATCGTCTGTGTTTAGTGGCAGCAGAGTGTGCGTTGAAGCTGTTCATATTGTTCGCTGCCATGCAAGCTGAATCTAACGATTCTCTGAACTTACCTCCTCATGGGTCAGGCAATTGTGCGTGGCTCCAAGATAATCTGATGTCGAGTTCGGCGTTTGTTTGGCCCCATGACATGACGTCATCTCGTCTCGCTTCTTGGGTGCTCACGCTTGATCCACTGCTTCTTTCAAACATTGTTGACAACCATGTTCCTCAAATCCATAAAGGTGAGGTTTTGCTGTTATATGGAACTAGAGAATGAAATATTACAGATTGTTGTTTGTAATAGAGAAGACGTAATGAGTGCAGTATGTGCTCAACATTCGCATATCATCAGTCTTTTTCACAATTCATTTGTTTGTCATGAAGGGTGTAGGTTGTTGGGCTCGAAAGTATGCTTGTGTCCCCTTTTTGACGCTATCTACCTGATTCTGTTGTTTCCTATATCTTCTTTTTTCTTTCATGTTGTTGTGATGCAATTCGTGAGGTGGGAGATAGATTTTTCGTAGATGCAGCGGGGTGTCGCTCTTACGAGGAGAATGAAACAAGTCTGACAGACGTGAAAGGAGAAGGCCATTGCGCTGTGCACAGCTAGTCCCCGCATGCGCCTTGTCCCTTCCATATGTCGGCACATACCTGATTCTCCCACTACGCTAAGCCTCGTCGACTCAAAAGCTGGTCTTGTGATTATGTGATCGTCAGAATTTTGAATTAAACTAGGTAAGGTTTATATGAGTCCTCAACATATTTCATACAACATATTCGTATTTGCAACTCTTCATATTTATTTTTATGCCGTGGTTTTTCCATATTTTCGATTGTCTAATTCCTCGGATGTTTGTCGTGCTTCTCTCGTATGAGGGAAAGTCCAAGCAGCGTGTTTTGAGCTTTAGTAAGGGGTATTGTTATCTCGACCAAGGTAGCGCTGTTGTTCGAAAAATTTTTTTCAACTTCACTGAAACTAATCGTTGCGTGCTCGTAGTCTTTCCTGGGGTGTTGTTTTGAATCAGGCAGTAGCGCCCTAAGCTTGTTCTTTATAAAAGCAGAAAAATTTTGTGCTAGCAAAAACAATAATACACGAGTCTGAACTTACTAACTCTAATAAGTACATCAACTGAATGACGGTAACGCCTTCCTTCCCGTAACTCCTAAAATTCCACCGCATCGCTTGATAGCAGATTCTTTTTTGGTTTGTTCTTTATGAAGAAGTTCTCGTGTTTCCCTTTTTGTTTGTTCACTACGTGCTCTCGTACTAAGCAAACCATCTGGTGCTTCTTTGATCAGATTGATCATAGTCGTTTGAGGCTATTCATCGCTAAATTTGCGAGTTTCGCTCAAGGCTTTTTGAGATCGAGATATGGTTATCGACCGTAGAATTTGTGGTGTTTAAATATACGCGATTGCTGCCGCAAACTTCCTAGCTTGTCTGGTGTTAACAGGATTCCAACAAACAAAAGCTACAGTCTGATCACAATCTAAACATCAACACGACAATGCTTTTTACGCCCTTTACTTGACTAAAGAGGGAAAAATGATAAACTGAAGATGCAGAGACGTTCTGTTTGTGACACAACAGATTTCACGAATAGCAACATTCTTACCCTGCTTGCTAACAATAAGAATGATGATCCTTCCATTAAGACCATTTTTCAGCCAGTATGCAAATGGAGCTACGGGTCGGTGGACGTTTTAGACTAGGAAGGAAAATCGGAAGCGGCTCCTTTGGTGATATCTACTTAGGTTGGTGACAGCTCTACCTTGCACATCAATGCACCGTGCATTTTGCTACCTCGTGTACGTCTCCTGTTTCCATGTATGAAGAAAGGGATTGAATAAGCAGTTTGCATTACTACTTTTTCGTCACTCCTCATTGCTTTTTCATATGTGCTTATCATTCTCGCGTTAGTTCGTAATTCTTGCATTTGTTTACGATTTACTACTGTGCCCTTTACATTTTGCTGTATGTCTTCAATGGCACTTTAGGTTTGAACGTGCAAACAAACGAAGAGGTAGCAGTGAAATTAGAATGCATCAAGTCGAAACATCCTCAGCTTCATATAGAAGGCCGTCTCTATCGCGTCATGTCTGGCGGTGTAGGAATTCCAGATGTAAGTTAATCTCAGTTTTCGAGACTTGACATTTCCTCTCGTATGACACCAAAATAAGTTAGATTGATTTCGAAAATAAAACGACGTTCACAAATTTTGTATTCGTTTCTGTATTCCCATTTTTCATGAAAAGTGTTTGTTGTGTATACTTCGAAGTTTACAGGTAAAATGGTGTGGTCTTGAAGGCGAGTATAATGTTATGGTGATGGAATTGCTGGGTCCATCATTAGAGGACCTTTTCAACTTCTGCCAGAGGAAGTTTTCGTTGAAGACTGTACTTCTTCTAGCCGACCAAATGGTTAGTTTTTATCTTTATTACTCAATGCTCAACATTTTTTCTTTTTTTTTTGCAGATAACACGAATAGAATATATACACGAGCGTGACTACATCCATCGTGACATCAAACCGGACAACTTTCTTATGGGTCTTGGAAAACGGGGAAACTTAGTTTATGTGAGTGTTTCTGTTTACTTAATTTGAAGAAGGAGTCTATTTTGGTTTACGTTAGCTGCGTTAGCTTTGTATTTGCTTGTGCTGCAAGGGACCAGAAGTTTGATTGACACAAGCTGTTGGCGGACTGTTTTCCCATTTCAAAAGAGAAACCGCAAAATGTTTTTGCTATGTTTTTGTTCGCTGTTGACTACTGGAGCAAGAAAAAACAAGAAAGCATTTCAGATAATTGATTTCGGGTTGGCTAAAAAGTACCGTGATTCACGATCTCAGCACATTCCATACAGGGAAAATAAGAATCTCACTGGCACTGCTCGTTATGCAAGTGTCAATACCCATCGCGGTATAGGTGAGCGAACTCCATTTTCGCAATCGCTCGCATTTTTCTGGGTGTTTAGTTCGATCATTACAGAGCAATCCCGGCGTGATGACATCGAATCATTGGGCTATGTTTTGATGTATTTCAATCGCGGAACCCTTCCCTGGCAAGGCTTGAAAGCTGCAACGAAGCGGCAGAAGTATGATAAAATTTCGGAGAAGAAAATATCTACGTCTGTGGAAGAACTGTGCGCATCCTATCCTGGTAAGTCATTTCATCCTTTACTACTAACTTTCGCCTCCTCAACCGTTTCATCATTATTCTTGTCATATATCGTTTTTTTTTCGGTATAAATCATTGTTATTGTTAACTCAGCTAACCCACAAAAATTTCGGGGAATGATGCCAGGTTAAGATTTGGTACCGTACTGTAAGTGACTTTATCAGATATGTTACAAAATTGAGAAGACATCCCACACAAGAAAACGCCTGCTATGTATCTGGACGGATGTCAATCATGTAGAAACAGTGATTGAATCATGTAATAGATCTGAAAAAGTAACTTTCATCCCCCAACAAGTCTCCATAGAAACGACGTTCAACGAATAATAATAATCAGGCACATCACTTCATTATGGATCTCAGTCACTGGTCTCAATAGTTTTCTTGCCTGTGCGTTGAGTTAACAAATTAAGTAGGCTTAATTTATCTTTTTTGCATTTTTTAATCATTTTATCATCGATCCTGAGTCAAAATGGCCAATGTACTTGACCTGCTATCTTGATCATCTCTCTCGAAGGCGATGTGTATTGTTTGTCTCATGTATACCAACAGAAGTTCTAAAATGACTGCTTTTCAGAAGCATTTGCAACCTACTTGCGATACAGCCGCACATTGGGATTTGAAGACACTCCCGATTATGGACATCTTCGCCAGCTTTTTCGAAACCTCTTTCATCGACAGGGTCTCCGCTACGACTACCTCTTTGATTGGAATCTGCTGAAGTTTGTCGTAAGAATCTGTGACCAGAGTTTGCAGAACGGGAAACGATGTCAGACTACATTTTCCAGTACTGAAACATCGTTTCTCGTTCATATATATTGTAAAACTCGTGTTGTTGCAATTTTGTCATCGTCATCTTCTCAATCAAGTAATGTTAATTCAGAACGGCGAAGCGCCTTCAACAATCGGCAGCACCTCCTATGGGAAGGGCGGAGTGAAGAAGTCTTATCCAGTATTGCGATCGTATGTTCATTCTTTTCTTCGTTTTGAAATCGAAGATAAATCCGTACATGTACCGAAACTTATTTGACGTTTTTCAAAGCATGAACTTTCATGATCATGCATCTCATTGCAGATTTTCCAGCTTTTCTTGTATAGAGCGAATTGTTGCAGGGCTCAAACATCAATGCAGAATCGGGCGGCTAATACCGCTCTTGATGGAGCTCCAGTGAAGTAATAGGTGGTGTTGTCCTCAGATTTTGTCTTTATCCTCTGAATTCTTAGGTAAACCATACATCTTTTTCTATCATAGACATTATAGTGAAACATGTGCTATTTGGTGTGTATTCTATGCTTTTCGTTCATTAGAACAAATGGATAGACATTATGTCTGCATTGTTCATCAGTTCTGTCCAACTGTAAAGATTGAACCGGACTCACTCTGGTAATCCTTCTACACTTATTCTCGTAATACATTGCCAGACACAGTGCGGCCGGCAGGTTCTAAACTGAAGTATGAAGTAATCCTTTATTCGGTTCTTACTGAGAGCTTTCTTCATCGTCAGCTTCTTTCTGTGCTACTACTACAATTGCTCCGTTTTTGCTTTTCCTTGATGACTATGCGGGTGACCAATAATCATACTTCTGTGTTCGCCGTTTAGCCACCGTCTCTCACTTGTTTCTTTTTCTCTATATAATAATCTGTGACATCTGTGTATTTTGATTGTATGACAAATTCCAATACATACTATCATCAATACATCCAACCCAGCACACTTGGTGTCATTTTTAGGAATCCAATTGTGAGGTGTTAATCATGTGAATTGTATCATGTCTATCAAGATGAAGTGTTTTTCTTGTATCTAGATGTGACAGAGGAGTTAACTGTCGACAAAGTGTGGACGTAAATCACTTTTTCCATTACACTGAAATTCATCCCCTTATGTCTGTTGTCCAAAGTGAGGATTTTAGCGTTGAGACGAAAATTCGCCCCAGACGTTGGTAGTCACAAAAATAGAAATAAACGGATTACTTTCCCCGGAATCTTTCCTAATTCGTGAAGATTATTGAGACTTACATCTTGGCCTCTGAGGGTGAATCATCGCCAACTATTTGACCATTCTCGTCGCTACGCTGTCAATTCAACCTTAGCATTAGGGTGCCATGGTTGAGACTCATATCGCTTTTTGTTCTCAATCATTCCTGATTTGCGGACTTCGTTCAGTGACTTTTGATTCTCACTATGTTACAACAAAATTATCATACAAAGCGAATTGGCGAGTTTTGTTAAAAACATAAAGGATGTAGAAGTACTAGATAGACTTCTTTGTGTGAATCACCGTTGAAGTGCAACAGAATCTTTATTTGCACTTTTAATTTATGTGGAAGATCTAAATGTGAGCAAATATGGAAGCTGTCAAAAGCACCAAGCTAATGTACGAGGAACTAACAATTCCCGTGGTCGTGTTTCTAAAATTCAATCACTCGACTAGCACAAGATGTGATTGAGTATCATATCTGGAAATATTTCTTTGAGCTCTTCTGAGGTTGACGTTAGGCTTAGTTCGACATCAGGATTCGTCAATGGTGAACATAAAAGTTACGGATAACATTTGATACTGGCTACAATCTCAACTGCTGTTTTCTTCCTGGATCGGCTCTTGTTCGCAAGCTGGATGGATTGTGGAACCAGTTGATTGGCGATAAACTCTTTCGCATCACGCCAGATCTGACCCTATATGGAGCTTTAAAACTTCGGTACACTTCATTACGCTCTAGTCGCCACTTGCACAAGTGCCAGCTGCTTATAAATGGCTCTCAAATTATTCGTTCGCAACTTTTGAGGCGTTTGGGAGTGGCGACACTTCAAATTTCGCGCCTAAAACGGATGCTCCGCCCTCCAGCGTTTTGGACGGCACTCACCACAGATATAGTGGTGTAAATTGCTAAGTAAGCGGAGCACTACTGCCATTTTCCGAGTCCGCTTCAAAAAAAAAAAAACAACAACAACAAAAACTTCGTCTTGTTTTGCCGCGAAAATCGTCTGCGCTCTTCTGCCAGCGCGCTGTCTCTGACAAATCGCTAATTCGCGTGATGACTGGAATAGCGTGACTGATGGCTCAGATTAGGCCCTAGCTCGCAATTCGAATTTTTGAATTTTTTAACTCCAAACCTGTTTCCGAGCGCTGTTCGCTATGATTTGATTCGTTCGCATTCGTGAGTTGCGGTCTATTGTCTCTCCTAGAGCATCCTCAATAACCTGATACAGTGCCTCGCGTTCCTCTATCTGTAAAATAATGAAAAAGTATTTCAAAAGCATGCGAAACATGATGAAGCTGAGCGATTCACCTCGTCCATGCTCACCGGTGCATCGCTTTTCCTTCGACGTGGAGGAGCTACAATTATTGGATAGGAGTCGGTTTGAGTGCTACGTCCTTCGCCACAGGATTCGACCGTGGGGGACAGAAGAACCGAGTTTTTTGCATCGTCCTAAGGTGCAAAAATTCTCTTACAGTTGTCACAGTAATCAAGATGTTGCTCAAAGAAAATCATTGCAGATGCATTATATGCTACAGCATGTTGATGAAATTCTACATATCGTAAGAGGATAGAAAATGTGTTCCTAAAGTTTTCTTGGCTCTGCAGTCTCAAACACTTCGGTATACTTCTATCCCAGCTTCATGTTGCTGTGGATAGTAGGTTGTCAATGAAAAGTTTGTTGAATCTTTATTGATGATGTTTCTGTTTCGCTTTCTCATAAAACCATCAACAGACCTTGAGTTACAATATGTAACATGATATGTAACTTGCACATATTGTAACTTAAGAAAATCAATCCCTATAATTTGGGGTCATTCGAAATGAGGGATTGAATCTCAAGATGATTATTTGTCTAAATCTAAGGAAGCTGTGGATTTAGAATTATAAGTAGCGAAGATGCGCAAAATGAAACCCCAGCTTCTGGGATATCGCAGATTATGATTCTGAAAAAAGTTTTTTTTTTAAATTGCCCTGCGAAAAGCCATCGGTACTGGCCCGGTAAAACTCCAAAATCCACTTCTTGTGTCTTGCTAGATTTTTTGACGGCCGCCGTAGTTCTACAGATAATCGGGTTCAGAATACTTTATATTAAGCTAATTCCATAAGAGCTTCATACAGCGCAGCCCAATGAACTTTCAATTACTTTACTACTTTGTTCGCCTACATTAGCAAAAGTAAAGGTGAAACTATCTGCGGTCATTTCTTGTAAAAAAAATTTTTGGGTTGTTTGAGCTCATCTGAATGAATGCTGACAATGAGATAACATATTCATACTAATAAAATTTTCTAGATAATTTGTTGTAGCGCAAACACTTAGCTTTTTGTCCGGTTTTCTCATTTTTGAGAGTCACAAGCATTTTTTATCCTATCATGTGATATGTATTTGAGCTTCCTCGTGCATAAAAGGCGTAAAAAGTGCACTGGAAGGACAGACACCTGACGGCTTCTAGAGTCCACGTACTAACTATTGTGAGTATCAAATATCAAGAAATTTCACTAAATAAAGCCTCTTCCGCAACTTCTTCCATCGGCTAAGGGAATTGCGATCTATATTACTGAGACAATAGAAGTTCATAGTTTCTGAAACAGTCATAATTTCTAATTTAGTGTCATTGCAGTCTTAGTTCAACAACCCATTAACTAAGGTAGGACAAAGATACAAGGGAAAGAGAAGATGTACGTGAAAATCGAAGGTAGCATAAAGATTTAGAAAGAGAAGATGTGCACGAAAATGAGCTGATGGGTCAAAGAATGATGTGAACGAAAATAATTGCTTAAATGAGCTCAAAAGGGAATGAAAAAGAGTGTGTGAGCGAATGGAAGATGGACGGAGCAAAATTGAAAGAAAAATTATTTTTGCTTGGCTGCTGGATAATATTTGGCTTATCAGCGCAGTACTTTGGGATCCAAGTAGTTATCTATCGGCTTCATTCCTCACCCATCCTTAATGAGGTCATATCAATTAGCTGTGACGTAAGCAAGTGAAAAAGAACTCTGAACATTAGGATTTTTACGTAATCGCTTGATTTTCACAAATTATAATAATGTACCTTCCATATGTAGCATACTAACATTCTGACATCTAAAAAATCAAACTGTTTCATCGCTAATTCCGAGAGGCTTCTGGAATTCTTCAATGTACTAACAAAGGTTAGTTACCTTATTGGACTACCATGATTATGAAAAGTAAGGAAAACATTTATAAAAATTCAACTTTTTTGCATGCAGTTTCCATGATCTAGTTGATGAATTGTGCTTGGAAGTACCTATCTCAAGACTGCTTAGCATATCTTTTGTGGATTTTATACTGGCACAGTATCAAGTCAATGATATTCGGAAAAGTATGTAAACGAAGGTGTTAATTTATGGCAATCGAAATCTGATTTAAATTATAAAGAGAACTATTTGATATCGCCATTCGTTTCGGTAAAGCTTCCCTAAGCCTGGCAAGACTTGCTCATACATTCATTTGCAAATGGAAGCGTTATCCGTCGTATAAAAAGCTGTAAGAGGATTTCGAGTTTTAGCCAACAGATATGCTTGCTCAAAACACTTCACGCAAGAAAGAAAAACAGCAAAGTTGTACAGAAGTGTTATGCATATTCAGTAGAATGTTCAAAGTGTTCAACTCACAAGGGTCTGTGTAGCAGTTTCCTTTGTCTGTAGGGGGATTTTCAGTCGTTCTGATTCCAGCCTTGCTAGACTGCAAGACAAGATTTACTATATTCAGAATGCAGGCTATTAACACAGATTTAAGAAGAACCTTGAGTGAGACGAGGCTTCATCCTCTTTCACCACCACAATTGGCTTATCCGCAAACACATCCCTGTCAAGAGCATTTCTTGTTTCTCCCAGTGAGGCGAAGGTTCGAGGAGCTAAAATAATCTCTAGATAAAAAAGAAGATGCATAAGATATTTTCTACTTTGCTGCTGGTGAGCTGCAGAAAGGTGATCGTGAAGCCTTCTTCCGGAAAGTGTTGACCGTGTTGTTGTCGACGAAGAAAGCGAATCAGAGGACGTCAGAGCAGCTTTTGCTTGTTGTTCTACTTAAATCGGTTCCCATATGTGCAGGAACGTTTTTAGAAAAACAGAACTTGACTGACTATAGTCGCAAATATCCTTTTCCTTCTGGGTTTTAGTCCGGGTGTTAGGCGATCCTAGCTGAGGAAGGATCTGTTTCTTACATCTCTTTCCTGAAAATTTACACTTGCCACGAAGGAATTTTCGCGATCACATGTCTAATTACTACTTTCATACATAGCTAATTACACTAGTTTTGGTTTTAATGACCTTTTTCGACTCCATTGTCATCCGAATCGACAACGACGCGTTGCTGTGTACGTGATCTGCAAGCAGTGTAAACAAGTGAATTGGCTTCAAGATTCCTCAATTAAAAGTTGAGGAATTCAAGGTTTTTCAAAAGAAACCTTTTCAGATCAAGCACTTTTCAACAGATTAACCACTCAAACAAATCAGCTGATTTACCTTGCTGAAAGGGTAAGCTGCGGCAATTCATTGGTATCTTTGTTGTGCTCCTCCTCCGGTCGATGTTGTTTCGGTAAGGAATTGGCGCTGTAGAAGGAAAATAATCAAAGAAAAATCTAAAATGCGGCCAATAAAAAAATGGAGTGTCATGTTGTACAGGTGCAAAAGTGCTGAAGCTCGAACATTCATAGTGTAAAACGCTCACACGTAAAAATGTTTGTAGCGATTGACCCCTCGTACATCTGGTACGTATCTTGCTCTTATAATCGAGTTCTCAGAGGCTTGGCTTCGTTCAATCGCCAGAACCCGTTCGCGAACTGATGTAGTTTCTCTTCTTTGCATGGAAGGTGGCATAAAGAAAGCTAAAAAGAAAATTTTCTGTCACTTTCCCAGTTTTGCTTCATTATCTGTAAAGTGCACTCGATTATTGTGCAGCGGAACCTACTTTGTACACTAAGCGACCGAAGGCATTGCTAATGTGCCAACACATTCATCGCTGAATTATGAGCAGAGCAATATGGTGCTAGTGAGAAGGAGAGAGAGAGTGTGTGTGAGCATATCGCGGGACCGCCCATCCCCTTTTATGCCGTGCTAGTCGGATAAGACGAGGCGAATTGATTATGATACCACGTAATCGCTGAGTCCTAGTGTGCGTCTACGCGTCTATCCTCTAAACAATCCTCTTTTCTGGATTGGCATCTTACTTCCATTGTCATTCAATGAGTGGATGCACGACAGCTTCGCGAAGATTTTGATGTTATTGCTACAGCTGTGATGAAGTTCTGTGGATAATATCTGATGTCATGCGCGCTATATTAGTTTCTTTTTTCTTTCAGTTACTAATAAAAATTACTGCGAAGAGGATTCTACAAAGCTATCTTAGAACGTCTGTTTTATGTTTATCTTACGGAAACACTGCGGTTGTTGCTCTCACAATTTTTAAAAAATCAAACAAAAGTCCGATCAACTGAATACAAGTTAAAATTAATTGGGAGTTGAACATTTTCAAACAATGAAGTGAATTGATTACAGTTTCTTTTGTAGCCGGGTGATGCTGTAGTTCATTGGTTGTACAAAGGGTTTTTTCTTTCCGTAATAAACAGATGTTTTTAGTTTTTTTTCTTTCATTATGGTATTAGCTGTTTAGCGTGCTGTTTCTTGGAAACCCATCTTCGAAAGTTTGATTTGCGGCAATTTTGCGATACAGTATTAAAGAATGAACATTCCTCTATACGTTGCAATCGTACGAAGCGAAAAGAAAACGAAAAGGAAAAATGACAACGAAATCTAAGGCAAAATTTCTTAGAAAAGCAAACCAAGTGAGAGTAAAGCACATATACGCATACATTTTGCTGGACACCAGCAAAATAAGGAGGACTAAGCCCTAATTCATATGTCCTAAGTGTATAAATTCAGACTTTCAGTACTTTATAAAATCCACTACGTCACCAAAGAGAGCACTTTTGCTTAGATGTGCACTTACTTGAAGAACAAACTGGACTTTGTACATCCTACTTATCAGGAACTTATCTCACTTAATGTTTTGAAACTCATTCTCGAACATTAACAACAGTAGCAATACATCACTTTACAGATTACATCTGTAACTGTCCATGATGAAAGCATTAAATTTCAATTTAAGTACAATTATTTCGAGGTCAGTTTTGCACTAAACTCTACATACTCGTGTTTGACTCGGATTACCAATGAAAGATGAAGTATTTTATGATTGAGTAGCAACTAAGTCTAGACTCAGTTTCCACTATATATCCTAGATCCAAAATGATACGAAGTTGCAGTTCAAGTATTCTCCGAATGAATTTTAGATTAGGCTGGCGTGACTTGCAAATCAGCAGAATCGCATGATTTCGCAAAAAAACCTCTTTCTACATCATCATCATTTTGATTGATATATGCGTATTGGAAAGCGACGTGATTCTTACAAAATCTACCTACATAGGTCATATATTGAATAATTAGAGCTAAAAACAGCAAACAGCGAGTGTTATTCAAAAGAAGCATGTCAACTCTTCCAATCGCTTTGAAACAATATCTACAGTTATCACATTTACGAGGTAATAGTAGCTCGATTAGGAAAAAATGATTAGTAGAACGAAATCCTACTTCGAAATAAGACGGCATATCATAAAATCAGAAAACCAACAATACCAAGAGACAGTGTTAGCAGTCTTTTGAGGGTTTCTGGGAAAGTGCTATGGGATAGCAACAAAGTGAAGCTGCAATTTCTTTGAATAGACATGGAAATAAAAATGATCAAGATTACAGATTACCATGGAGATCCTAAAAACTTTTAAAGTACCCTCAAAATTTTTTGCAATGTAGGTTTTGAGCGCTGCGGACGAGATATGATTTAGCACAGAGTTAATTAATATTCAAACGTTGGATGCATTCGATGCATAGAGGATAATCCGCGTCACTGGCGTCACCGTAGCGATGAAGTGCTTCTGTTCACGTCAGTGTCGAAAGAAATGTGCTTTTTTCATATCACCGTATAACTAAACTTGATTCTCGATATTTAGATTTCGGCGCTATTTTATAAAATCGTTTGTGCAATTCCAGAAAGCTTCCGAACAGAAACAGTACATTGGTGTCAATGTGTAATAAAATTTTGAGTCTCACACAGTCTTCCCTTGTCAGTGAAAACGATAGAAGCATGCAATGCAGTAATTAGGAAGAAAAAACTTCCATAAAGAAAGCGCGCTGACCCAAGAACATAATCACCAGATGTATATTTAAACAGTCCCAAGTTAATGAAGTTAAATTTCTGCCGTAGAGAACTTTCCCACGAAACTGCCTCCAAGATTCGTCAACTATTCTAGCGTTTTGAAGTTTTCATTCGTTTTGATAACACCTTGGAACTGTCAAATACTAGCCTAGGTACGCTGAAAATCAAAACAACCTTCTGTATATGCTTCTTGACTAGAGAAAATTTACTCGTTGATCATGTTACATCTCTTTTAGGCGGTTGGTAAACGACAAGCGACCCGGTTCACTTGAACAAATCAGCATGCAGAGAACCATGTATTGACAGGTAGACCAATTTAGCACGAGCTAAAAGTACAATTATGGTCTGTCTCAATCTGGATCAGGCTCAACCGTTGACGTAAACTTGCGCGCTCGCAGCGTTAGGTATATATGTACATGCGTTGCGTGCGCTTACCGCCGGAGAGAGCGATAGATTCAAGATAGAGTAAACAAGCAGACCGTAGACGTGGCGGAGAAACCTAGCGGAGCGGTTACACCCATGCAAATGTTGGCCTGATTTGGACTGTGATAGACTATATGAGTTACCTGTGCATAGGCGCGGGTTTCTTGTCAAGAAACTTGAAGTCAATTTCTAGCATCTTTCTCATTTGCTTCGAAGTTACCTCCTGCTTTACGTGAATCAGCGTCCTAAGAACATCCAATAAATTACAATACAGATCACTGATATGAGTAACGCTAAGGGCTGTTTTATAGTGCAGTCGCTGCAACAACGGCAGTCAATCGATCGATATTCATTGCCCGCGTCAAGATATTTTAGTTGCTGCAGCAACTGGGATTTAGAGTGTCAGGCAATAACCAATTTGTTGTACCCCACAACCCCCCCCCCCCCCCCGTGCCGAACGTCTTCGGTGGCAAACAGAGGGGTGGAGGAAGGGGTCGATACATAATCGACGCCATTTGAAAAAAGGCGCATATCTTATATATAAAGCTGAATGTCTGTTTGTCTGTCTATATGTCTGTCTGTCTGTCTGTATGTACTACTAGCTGGCAAACCCGGCTCCGCCCGGCTCTGTCAATAATATATTCGTCGTCAGCATGCTAACTTACCCCCTGTGCCAACTCCCAGCCCCGTAGCTCAAATTTTGCAAAAAATCGATAAAATCGATATCGATCAATAACGAAAAGTAGCCTATGACACCCGCCGGGGCTCGTATGTGTGTGTGCCAAGTTTGGTCCGGATCGGTTCAGAAATGGAATTTTCTATTCGGAACATACGTACACACATACATACAGACAAACAGACATTCAGCTTTATACAGTGCTGGACATAATTATAGAGACACTCTAGAAATCGTCGTATCGTTCTTGTCAGTGAATCTGTCTGAAACTTTGCTGTATGGTGCGCATGTAAGCCTACCATAACTCCTCAGGACGACTTTCAATCCCGTTGATTTCGAACGGAGAAAAATGGAAAAATTCGAAAAAGCCTGTTTTGCAAGCTGGACATAATTATAAAGACACCTGGCCCTTTTAAACATTATCGCATTCCTTGACTCCCAAATTTTTTGTAGAGTTACATCCCAGAATATGAAACTTTTGCAGCACCTAGGACCTGTCATGCTACTCAAGGAAAGATGATCCTTGCATTTTCGTTTCCAAAGGCATCAGAAGTCAAACTGCGTCAACAAACAGCTGGTTTGAGGAGTTTCCAAGCCCGCGTTCATTTCAAATGACAGTCTTGGAACACACCTAGCCTTTTTGATAGATAAGGTGAAGAGCGCTTTCGTAAACTCCGCGTAATCGCTGATATTGACAATCAGACTCCAACCTCACCATAGGGTTGTCGCGCTTTTACACCACAAAACTCACTTTCCAATGCTCGTGAAGTGATGGAATCGATTTATTACATTGTCTACATGGAGATGCATCTTTTGCAACAACTTTTAGATTTTTTCTAATGCTGCAGTTGCCATTTAGATCTGAAATACTTTCAACAAAAATTCTATGCGAGCAGTAGATTCAACATAATCACAAATTTCACTATTTTATTCTCTGTTTCATGTCGCATTTTGCGCGGTAGCTGAGATTAGCAAGATTTTGAAGTTTCAAGCGGTCTCCTGTTCGATTTCTTGATTTGAGTTGGATATGATTGTGCAGGGTGCTCGACTCAACTCTCAACGGATGGCAACTGCGGCTGAACCAGAATGTGCAACTCCGAAATTTTTTCCTGACTAGGCACACAAGTTTATTGTTGTACGTGTATTGTTGCGGCTACATTGCAGCGTTTTCTGTAACTTGAAAATCTAGTTTTGTGGTGCAAAAGCGCGACAACCCTATGGTGAGGTTGGAGTCTGATTGTCAATATCAGCGATTACGCGATTACGCGGGTGTCATAGGCTCCTTTTCGTCATCGATCGATATCGATTTTATCGATTTTTATCGATTTTTTTGCAGAGTTCACCTACGGGGCTGGGAGTTTGCACAGGGGGGTAATCGAGCATGGGGATGCCGAATACAATATTAGTTTTCAGGATTATGGATTACTTTTATCGGTTTTATCGATTTTTTGTAAAGTTTGACCTACGGGGCTGGGAGTTTGCACAGTAGGGTAATCGAGCATGCTGATTACGATTAAAATATTAGTTTGGCGCTATTCGGCTATCCGGGCCCCAAAATTTTTTTGTGGTAGAGCTTGCTCAAACTTCGTGTATAAGGATTATCTTAAGGGCCGGGCATACTTCAAGCGATTTCAATCGCGACGCGATTTGGCAATATTCCAGGTGTCCATAACTGTAAGCACATTATAAATGTACGGAAGATAGGGCATTTTATCAGTTTACGTAAGTTATACGCACTATGCATGTGCAGTCTGCTAATGTTGGATCAGAAGACTTCTGGCGAATTGCCAAATCGCGTCGCGACTGAAATCGCGTGAAGCATGCCCGGCCCTTTACATGCTGATTACAGATATCCACTTTCTCCGCAGAACGTCTTCCCGTGTGGTTACGATAGGTGTACGGTAGGAAGTCAAAATCATGAATTCGGCTGGAGTTCGCTCCATAATGCTTATTCGACATGCTAATTACGAATATCATCTCTCTCTGCATATTGGGACCTTTTCATAGAAATGTGGTGATTATATGGCATGGGGTCGAAAACATAGATTTGCTTTAAACTTCGTCTAGGGTGGTCATTTAGCGCGCTGAACATGAATATCATGCTGATTCCGCAGGATAGTGCATTTTATTGGGTTACGGTGGGTGTAGATGGGTCGAAGTTCCAGATTTGCTCAAAACCTTACCTGTAACGGTTCACAAGTATATCACTTATGAATATGATGCTTGCTCGCTGTCATAACGCAATAGTGAAGTTATGGTGAGTTGCAGGGTTTGAATGGACATTTTTTCGCTTTCGGGCCAATTTAGATCCCAGATATTCAAGAGATGGGGAAACGGTCGTTTTGCATAGCGTTCTCCAGCGCCATCCTGATAACCTGTCCCAACGCGTAACGCACGCTGCAAATCTCCCTCCCCCTGTTTTTGCTTAGGCAAAAGCCGCCGAAGGGTGTATCGCGCGCGGCAGTGGTCCTATAAGGAAACTGATAACCTGTCCCAACGCGTAACGCACGCGGCAATCTTCTCCCCCTGTTTTTGCTTAGGCAAAAGCCGCCGAAGGGTGTCTCGCGCGCGGTAGTGGTCCTATAAGGGAAAGCATTACGGCCGTGGGAAACTTTCATACCATACGAATCGCCTTTATCGTGGGGATTGAGCACGATTCTTAAAA